CTGAAAGCTCCAGCTGATCGGAGGGAGGGAGAATGGGGTGAAACAAGGCACTTTTGGGGTTTCAGCCTGCTCCTGGGGGTTCGGAGGTCGCTCGGGCAGCCCGGCGTTGCCGGATCCGCCGTGGAGCAGCCTTACCTTCCCTCGCTGTCTTTGCAGTAGGGGCAGGTACATGCTTCCCTCCGCACTTTCCGTCCTTGCTGAGGCTGCGGGTCCGGGCTGGTCTCTCCTTCCTCCACAGCCGCGTTCTCGTCTCCCAGCCCGTCTCCGCTCGTGCCGTGAAGACCCAGCTGAGCACCGTGGTCGCCTGGAAGAAAAGGCAAGAGGTTACCGCGGGTTCTCCGGCAGCAAAGCTCCGAGCAGCAGGAGGGAAGTGAGAGGGGCTTTCCCCGGCCTTGCCCCACGGCGGCCGCAAAGCTGGGAAGGTCTCGACTTGATTGAGCCGAAGGAAGTTATTAATTCCAGCCTTCTCCCTCAGCTTTCCACAGGCTCCTGTATTTTCGAGCCATGGCAATCCCACGCGGAGCTTACCCCAGAGCCCTGGGGCTCTCCCTGCCCTCCACGGCCCCCAGCACAGCGAGGGGTCCCCACATTTTGCTCCACACCCTCCGATTTGCATCCAGAGGAGAAGTAAGAGCCGCGTCTCTCTGGAAAAACAGCCCTCTCCTACGTTACTCCAGCCACCTGCCAACTATTTCAGCTATTTCAGCTAACCTAGCGCAGAAAACAGAGCAAAAATGTAAACCGAGCAGCGCCGGCCGGCTTGCATCGGTGTCAGCGATAAAACAAGCGTCAAAACATTGCCGAGGGAAACCCGGGCTTCTCCGAATCACACCTTGCTACCAACCGCACCGAGGTCCCTTTCCCCCCCACCTTGTTTTTGGGGCTGAAAGGGGCAGTTTTCCCTTTTCAAACACCTCTCCAGCTTAAAACCTGATGAAAACAGCAAAATCCGGGAGCAAATCTACAGAGCAGATGCAAATCCTCCTGCCAAACCAACCCCCCCTGCAGAAAAAAAAAAAAAAAAAAAAGAAGAGGCAGTGATAAATAAAACGGGCTGGAAGACCGTAGTCTTCAGCAGCATCCATCAGCGAAGATATTATCGGCACGCGCTTACTGGTTAATTACTGCAATTACAGAAAGGGATAGATATATCTATATAAAGTTGAAAAATCATCTGGTGCTGCTCACGGAGCGCAGTCCCTCCCTCTCTCTTGAGGAGCAATTCCCAATTATAAAAGCCGTAGGAACCGCAGGGTAGTGCTGACGAGCTCCCAAATGCAGACAAACATAAACCATTCGTAACGGGGGGGTTCAGGGGTAGGAAGTTTTTAAGCCTATCGGTTTTCATTGCCATTTTATTGCTCTACGCTTATGCTGTCATCTAATTGCTTCTCCAATAACCCCATCTACACTTCACAAGTGTTTTATTTCCCTTCAAGCTCTGCTGCTTGATTATTTTCGTGCTGAAAAGCCGGAGCGGGCGCAGAGACGGCAGGCTGAGTAATCTCTTTTCAGCTGCAATTAACATATGCCAATAGGTCTAACGGCAGATTTAGAGCCGAGACGCTTCCGCCGGACGGGCAGTGGCATCCTTGGCTGGCTACGGGCTGGGATTCGAGCCCAAAATTCACCTTTTTCCTACCAACTTCCTCATGAGGAGGCAGCCAGGGTTGAGATCACTGCCTGAACGCGGTGGTGTTTGAGACTGAACCACACGCGGGCGCGAACACGCACGTCCTCGTCCCCAAGAGCAAACGGTGCTGAGCTCTGCCACTCTCCCACTGCTGGGAAATGAAGTTGGGGCAGGGTGAGTCTTCCCCAAAAAACCCCACTCGTCTGGGGGTTTTCCCGATGCTGTTTATCACCAACTGTCCGGCTGGCTCTGGCGAGGATGAGTCAACGGGAAGGAGCGTGCCAGCCAGCCCGGCCGACGGGGACATCGGGATGCGAGGGGGGTCGTGGTGCCCTGGAGGGTGCTGCTTCATTCGCTCCATCTCCTCTTCCCTGGAAGCGGCTTCTTAAATATGGAGCGCAAATGTCACAGAGCTGCCGTTTCCAAAGTCAGCATTCCCCAAAAAACCCCAAAACAAACCAGCCTGCGCTCCTGCTGCCGGTGTCCTTCAGAGCAGCGTCGCGACGGGGCTACAGGAACGAAGGCCACCTCCCCGGCGCGGGGACTGAGATGCTGCCACTGGTGGTGGTACCGCAGGAGACCAGCATAGCAAGTATCTTCATCAAAACGGTGACGTTTGCTTTAAAAAAAACCCTGGGTTTTCCACATAACAGCTTCCAGGCAGGAGGCAGCACACCAAGCATCTGCAGAAGAGGTGCCGGCGCTGAAGAAGGATAAACTTCAGACTTAGGCCAGCCCGAAACATCCCTGAGCTGCGTGCTGGGTGCTCTTCCTGTGGCCGGGAGGGTTTCACAACCCGGAGACAGCGAGGGGGGAATGACGAAGAGTTTCTGGCAGCGGGCAGCCTTCCTCGGCCCCACGGCTTTGCTGTTACCAGCAGGTGTCAGTGGTGCCCTGGCAAAGCTCAGCACAGGAGCCAGGGCAGGGCCCGAGCTCAGGAAAGGACAAAAACCCACCAGAAATAGATTCCTGGCTACTCGGGGCACCGGCCAGCGCACGGTCGCGACGCCAGACAGCTCTGCGGTGGCATTGCCGACGACCCACGTGGTTGGTGGGGGATTCATGTGCGCGACCGGGCCATGCTCATCTGGGCTTCCTCCAGCTTTGATTTCACTTCTCCAGGTCGTGGCGGCATCAACGGGAGCTTCGTTCTCCCAGGCGGGAGCAGACGAACAGGGAGGCTTGAAATTAGGGGTGGCCGCTCTGCCCCCCAAGTCCGCAGGGGTCCAGATTTCCTGGGAGAGGGCGGTGCTGGGCAAGCCCTTTGCCATCGAGGACTGAGACACTCAGAGCATCAAAGCAAGAACCAGGAGAGAAAAGTTGCAATTAAGGAAACGAACCCTGACTCATCTGCTCACCCCGTCTCTGCTCAGGTCACGCCAGGGCCGGCGCATCCGTAGGGGTACGGGGCACACGCCGCCGTCTAAGCAGAAGCTGGGGTGTCATCCGTGTTACAGCTGTGCTCACACGTCCGCACCCCAACATCGCGAGTTAAAAGGACGGTGATGGCCCTGAAGACCATGTAACCCCGCGGATGGTCCCTCCGAGGAAACACTCGGCCGAAATGCTGCAAATAACACCCGTGACCGACCAGTCCAGCCCCGCGACGGGGTTCCTGCACGGTGGTAGCATTAATAACAACGGCGGTGGTTGTGCCTGTCCTCACACCGGGACACCAAGGCGCAGAGGAATATTGGTGGCCATCAAGTGACAGCAACCAGGCCAGGTCAGGAGGAAGGAAACTGGTTGTCCCTCCAAAGGGGACACAATTTTGAGTCCCGCTTGGAAATCTTGGCCGGGGCCCTGCCATACCTCATCGGCAACGCTCCTGTGCTCCCAGCAAAGTTTAGCAATTTTAGGATAAAACCTTTTCAGTGCCCCCCCCCCAGCTCTTGCAACACATGTTTACAGTCTAAAACCAGCACGGAGGGAACCAGGGAGGGTTTTTCTTTTTAAGCTTTATAAGCCAACGATGACAGCTTGCATTATGGGAACAGATTAGAGATTTCCCTGTCGCGTATGTGGCGTCCGGGGAGAGCTGGTATAAAAAGGAAGGAGAAGACACACACGCGCTTTCCCCAAAATACGCTTTGGAGGGGGAGAATCCAGCCCTGATGTCTTGGAATGGCTTCAATCTTCAAACATGCAAAAGCCTACGCAGCGTTTTATAGTCTGTTGGCATGTCGCATGGAGGGGAAAAAGCCCAAATCCTCCTTCTGGTAATCTATGGCTCGCATCTAATTAAGGTATAAATAAATTACGGCAAGAGAAGACAGATCTTGTACATACACGCTTCATTCTTCACATATCAGGACGCGCTGAAGTCTCCAGAATATTGCAGTTTCAGGAGAAAGCTTGGCGGAGAGAAACCAGCTGGATAATTTACGTTTATTATCTCCACTAATATAGATTACTTCTAAGACTAAAGCTTTCATGAAGGCTGCCAAGCCCCCGGTCCACGCTTAGGTCATTGAAATCCTGAAAAAAAGTATATTAATAGCAGAGCAAGGAGGGGATTTAATCCTTGGAAAACCCTGGGAGGGACTTGCCTGCAAAGACAGGCGACGGGCAGGAGCTGACCGACCTGCCTTTGCTCTCCATCAGCACGGGACGGGGGGTACTGACCTCCGAGACGCCGCCCCCGCCCCGAAAAAAGGGGTAGTCGTTTGGCGGTCTCACATTAAAAAGAGCAAAGGAGCCGAGCCTTGGCTGGCGACTTCTCTTGAGACAAGGTGTTTCTTGTCTTCGAACTGCTTGTTGGAGGAAAAATGCTTCAGTTTAGTAGTTTTATTTAGCAAACTAAAGCGAGGTGAGAAATGCCCTGCGGATAGAAGAGAGGAGCGTTTTTAGATCCACCCCAGCTGACCTCAGGAGAGGGGAAACAGGCTCGATGTTCATTTTTAGGGAGGATCTGGGGGGGAAAAAAACAACCAACCCAACATGGTTTCTTGTGCAAACTCTGCAACATTGGCAGCTGCAAGTCTGCAGAGGCAGGAGAGGAAGAGGGGGGGTAAGTCGTCACCACGCAGAGCGGGGCACGCACAACAAACCGACGTCAGTGAAAAAGAGGCAAGAGGAAGTTTTTAAGGTGAAAAGAGAGAGCAAAAAAACCCAGTGGCACGTAGCACCGGGGCTCCCCAAACTTCTCGGCAGACGACAGACACCTGAAAAACCCTCCCCAAAAATCAAACCTTTCTAGCTCACAACTCAATTTCTCCCCATTTCCTCCTCCTCTTTTTTTTTTTTTTGGCAGCCTGAAAGCCCAGGGTGGCAGCGAGCAGCATCGCCTCGCCGGTGCTCGCTGCTCTCCCCAAAACACACCACCACGCTCTACTCCAGGCAGATCAAAGACAATTAAGCTGCACTTGCTACAGAAAAGAACAAAGTAGGTTTTGTAACGCAGTCCCCTTGATTTTTATCTCGTTTGATTTCCTCACTAATTTGCAAAATGAGTTAAGCTGCAGTAGGAAGTCATTCATGTAAATTAGCCAAGCTCTCGCTTAATAATTCTTTGGAGTTATGGACAGCGGAGCGGTGAACACACGGTGCCCGGCTGCGTAAGATGGTGCAGTTTTGAAGTCGGACTGCAGCACATCGAGTAATTGTATTTTAATCTGGAGTTTAATGACTTGAAAAGCCACACAGCAAGCTCTGCGATATCCTTTAATTGT